ATCTCCTTTTCTCTCGCCTCGTCTGTCTGTCCTTACCCCCAGGTACGCCGCGGCTGCCGTGATCGGCTCCCCCGGAGGGGGGAGGGGGCGAGTAGAGCGCAGTCTCGTGAGTATCCCCCGGCCTGCGAGGGGCGATGGGGGTATGTGACGAGAGGGGCGGGGCCGAGAGCCGTGGGAACGGAGCGAGGCTGGTGGAGTAAATGCTAATGAACGACACCTGCGCCACTCACCGGTCTCGAGTCCCACGGAGGAGCTCCGGAAGGATAAAAGGAGGAGTGACGACGTCTTAGATCTTTGAGCTCAGCTCATAAAAAATGGGGGCAAAAACAAAAGTGTTGTGTTTATAATTTTGTTCAGTATAATTAAGTAACGTTATATTTATAATCCACTGTTAATCGACTTAGCCGTTATTCCAGTGTAGAATTTATTTCTGCGTCATTCTGTGATAAGAAGCCACATCAGATCAAGAGGGAAATTATTTTAAATATTTGTCTGATGTTGTGCAGTAAAAGAATTTTATAATGTTCTTTTTTGTTGTTGGACAAAAGGTTTAGTCATTACAAGGGAAGATGCTCGGTGTGTGTTGCTTTTTCAGATGCAGGCGTTTTCTCATCTCAGCGCGCAGACTCACAGAGCCAGCTTGGAGAGAAATAAAACGCACAGAAATTTAAAAGCAAAACCTAAAAAAACGCTCTGATTGGTTGAACTCTTCATCTTTTTCTGTTGCTTGTTTTGAATACTGCACGTGGACAGAGGCGTCACCAGGTTTTTTTGCGAAGTTTAGAGTGACAAATCGTACCAGCGTACTTTGAGGTCAAAATGCGTATCCGCTACGCAAAATGCGTACAGGTTGGCAGGTCTGGAATGATCTGATGAATGGCGCTGCGAGCCAACTTATATACACGTCGGCTCTGCCCTTTCTGGCAGGCTAAAGCGCCATTGGTTTGTGCAGCTACACAAACGTGAACAAATCAGGCTTCAGTACAGAGTAAAACAGGAGTTTTCCCATACACAACGTGAAGTGAACGTTCGAAAGGGAACTGGAAGTGCAAAATGCTAACTTCCAAGTTTTGGCCTACAAAAATGTCATCCCTGCAGCACTGCATGTCTAACCTAAAGTTCCAAAAACACGTTTTTTGTAACGTACCCAAATTGATAATTTTGTGATGTACAAATTAAATATGTTAAATCAGTTGGTCCATGAACCAGACAATGGACACTCATGCTTTACTTAATATTCAGAGCATAAAATATTTATGGTGGATGGAAGGTGTGCTAAGTAAATATTGCTCAAAATGTCTGCTTGAACTCACTGGTAAAAAGAAAACATAACATACAAACTTAAGTAGAAAGGCATTTTCCCTCAGAGCACCGATGCATCCTGCGAAGCCGAGCACGAACATCACTCCACCCACCACAAGAAACAGCCACACTGGATCAAACCCGCCCAGATCTGTGATGGAGGATATGTTGGAGAGAACCCCCTGATGGAAATACAAATGGGAACAAAACTGAGAATAAATAAATATGGCTGCAAGCAGCAATTAAGCAACCAAGCACAACAGAGGTGAAATGAAGAGCTAAGGAGCTGTCTTTAGTTACTCCAACCTTGCTTCTGGAGAGCTACCTTCCTGCAGACTTAAGTTCCAACCCTGCTTCAACACACCTGTCTATAATAAAGTAGCCCTGAACACCTTGATTAGCTGGTTCAGGTGTGTTTGAGCTTTTAAAATATCTTTTGACCAGTAGGTGGCACTGTGCCGAAATTACTCATGTGCCCTCAGGTCTTGCTTGTTATAAGTTTGGCCAGTATCCATTACAGCATTGTGGAGATATAGCCTCATGTCCACTTTTGCAACACTTTGTCAAATTTGTTAGCTCGCTTTACAAAAACAGTTTGAAAATTGGACAAACCGTCTAGGACGAGTTCGAAAAAGTTGTTTTTTGAAAAATTCCAAATTGCGAAAAATCTTGGCCCATAGAAATGTACATTGCATTCGTCTTGATATGTGCCAAGGAATCAGAGGAAAAAGGAATTTTGCTTTTAGACCTTACGATTCAAAAGTTATTAGCAGAAACATGAGTGCAAATTTGACCTGTTGGTGGCACTAGAGAGTTTGAGCTAGAGACTCCAACTTTGCTGTGGTTAATGATGAGACAGACCTCTTTCTGTGTGCCAAAGTTCATATCATTCCCACAATCAGTTCTATAAGATTAATAAAATTCGTAACTACGCTAAAGCGTTTGTAAAACAGCATTTTACTACAAAATTCGAAATAGTCCACGCTCAAAATGTCTGACATAGGAAAATTGGGTATCGGTTGATTAGGTATGCCGCTCTGAATCTAACTTATGATTTTTGGTCAAACATTTTAGAAATTATAAATAAAAAATGTATTATATATATATATTATATATTTTGACCAGTACGTGGTCAAAATGCTGAAACTACTCATGTGCCCTCAGGTCATTGAGATGAGAATTGAGATAGAGACTCCAGATTTGCTATTGTTAATATTGAGACTGTCCTCTGTGTGCCAAATTTCACAACTTTCTATGTGATTCTATGAACATTCTATTCTATGTTTCTAAGTGGTTCTATGGGCTGCCATAGACTTCCAGAGCAGAAGAGGAAGAATAATAATAAGAAAACTAACAGATACAATAGACGTCTAAGCACCTTCGATGCTTGGCCCCTAATAATAATTTCAGTTTAATTAGACCAAGATCTCACTTAAATAGATTCATATATGAAGTGTTTGTAAAAAGATGGTCTTCACTCACCTTCTCACTCCAGGCCCACAGAGCCACGGACAGGAACGCCGCCCCCAGCAGCTAAAAAGTGTATATTAGCATTTGTTAGCAGCATAAAGGCAGTTTGGAACGTCTGAACATTATTTCTAGTAACATATGAGCATCCGGGATGTTCTAAATGCATTTCTGGACCTCATAAGCGCTTTTGGAATGTTCAAACTGCAATTCTGGGCAAGATAAGCTCCCTTTGGAATATTCGCACACACATACACATATACATACATATATATATATATATATATATATATATTTGTATCATGGCATGCCTTAAATTAGCCTCCGTACATTCAACACAAATTGGGGTTTCATAGGTGAATTTAGAACGTTCGACAGCATTTGGCCACCATAAACGGGTTTGAAACGTTCGACAATGCTGTCTAGGTAGGCAGCTTACTAGGTTTTGAGGCACGGCCAATGTGTCAGACACCTAGAGGTTGTTTTAATGTAAATCCCAGGCGACAAAATGCAAGACTGTACATTCACAGCTCGCACATAATGTCAAAAATGCATAACTCACCCAAAATATAATATTAAATCCAAATATGAAGTATTTGATGCAACAGCCCACTTCGTGCACGTTGAAATGTTTTCCTGACATACTTGCGTTTGATAAAACAGAGAAATTCCTCCCGGTGATTCTTAATGATGAAGAAAAAAATCGCCCACCGACTGGAAAACTCGCTTCTTTACACCATATTTATGACATTTCTACAGATTGGCTGGCAATGCCACTCTGGGCTTTGCCTATTCCGCCGAAATCAGTAATTTGTCTATTCGAAAAACAGAAAAATTATTGATAAAAAAATTATTACAGAGAATAACGGGACGAGCGCTCCTCTGCAAATAAAGATTGAGAGTCACTTCCGGCTAAGTGAATTATGTCATAATGCGATTTTTCAAAATAAAGGTTCCATAATTACAGCTACTTGGCTATATTGGCAAAAAAGAAAAAACATCGGCGTATGGGTTTATGGGGCCACTTTTAAAATCATCAATATCAATAATAATAATAGCTTCATGACCATTATAATCTACAGAATTATTATGATATATGTAAAAATAAGTACAATATGCATATTTTAATACATGATGTGATACATATTAAAATCATCTAGAATATTTTATTACTTCATTTTTTACTTGTGCTTTAAAACTGTGTAAAGAGAAATTTCAAAGTCTAATTGTCAGTTGCAGCAGTATCACTTCAGAAAAAAAAAACTTGAGACTCAAAATCATGGCATATATAATATACACATATAATTTGAACATTAAATTAATCACAATTTAACTGCCACTGTAGACAAGTACTGCTCACTGCAGAGCCAAATGACCTCCAGCTCCCCCTCTCTGGATGTCCAGCTCCACCTCTGTGTGAACTAATGGGTGGAGTTATGTTTAGCGATAGGGTAAGGGGTAGGGTTAGGGAGTGGTTGGGTGTCTAGCTCCACCCATTACATCCAGCGAGGGGGAGCTAGAGCTCCAGCCCCTCCCATTTGGCTCTGCAGCGAGCACCCTCTCACTGTAGAACAGCAGTTTACAATACCACACCCACATCACAAAGCCAGGGCTGTAATTTCAAAATAAGAGGCACCGAACCCTGAGACCCATTTGTAAAAATAAACAGTATCCTGTTGTGAAATGAACTTTAAGCAATAATTTTAGTCAGTAACATTAGTAATTATATATATATATATATATATATATATATATATCATAACTATGAACAACTGGATTACATTAAGGTTGGCAGATGTGTCAGTAGACTTACTTTTTGTCCTTGTTTTTTGTATGATAACTACATTCCTATATTGTGGATCACAAAAACTTGTGCTTAATAAAAACACTATCATGCTTTTATTTTGATTTATTAGGTCAATTCTAGGATCTTCCTTTCCTTAAAAACCTTAAACCATGGGTATTTTGATGTGAATGGAATTTATATTGAATAATAGTATGACAGATTCACTCTGATCTAAAAAGGTGTGTTTGAAGAGCTTTGCTTTCTACAATTTGAATTTGAGATAGATCAAAGGTTTACATGAATTGAACTATTTCTCAATGAGCTCATGACCTGCAGTGAAACCTTTAGTTTGCAAAGACACTAAATGAAACAGGTTAGCATAAGGTCTAGTATTGTTGTGCACAGGAAGCTTATTTAGGAATAGTGTCTCAGCTAGTTAATTGGAATATCAGACAGCTGAGTGTGCGGTCTAGACAGAGGTTGTATCTAATGTGTGTGTCCTTGTGTAAAGTGAAGCAGGCTGTAATAACCCCAAGGGCGGTGGAAATCCAAGGCCTTGTGGCCACCTCACAGTTCTGCATTAAGGTCATCCACAATCACCTCTATGAGTCAGCAAATCCCTGCAGATATAATATACATCTCACCCCGAAACCCCCGAACACAACACAGTGCTTATACTGAGCACACCAAAGATCATCTCCATCACAAAGCCCACTACATGCAGTCCATCTTGATGATCTATAGACTAATCATTATGTGTAGTTCACAATGCTGATCTATTTCCCCAAACTACAAAATTATAAAACCTTATTTGCACAAACTACTATAGCAACACTTTATAAGCACTGTGCATGATGTATTGCATAATGAATGTGTAAGAGTATTATCTTATGCTGATCTTCTATGTATCCCAAAAAGAAATAAGTAAAAATAAAAATGTAAAAAACAATTTTTGTCAAGTATAACAGAATTCTTCTATATGCTGTTTGATTATTTTAATATTCTAATGGCAGTAAAAAAAAAAAAAAAGTGGAATATTAAAATTCCTTTTAAAAATGTCACAAAAATTTCTCAAACTAGAGTAAATTAGTCACATAAATTATTTCCTCAAGCAACTTCTAATGAAAATGCTGCTTGTTTGCAAACTTTTTACTAGGCGTGTCACCTAAATTAATTAATCATCATTAATTTTATAATCCCACAAGTTTCAAGAACTGTATGTTCTTCAATAAAAACAACAGTTGCTCAGGACAAATTAAAATTAAATGTAAAGTTTATACTGTATGTTGCACATCTTTTGCTGAGGCCCCCTAGTGGACCTCATCCCTTTTGTTTAAGAACCACAGATGCAAATGCAGTTATTGTTAATTTAAAAATCTTTTATATATACACAACACTTAATAAAAAATTAATAACATGTTGATCATTTTTAATATTCTAACATCAGTAAAAATCCAGCTATTCGATTTCACTACAAACATTTAAATAAAGAAGAATCCGTATTTTATATTTTTCCCAATGTTGCAGAATTGATTCTAGGTAACAAACACATCTGTTTTGTATTGCTAAGGTGCACTTTATGCATGAATAGTGAATTAGACATTTGCAACCCTAGTGAAAAATACGTAAATATAATAAAATGTATTTGAAATACATTTATTTCATACTAAGTATATGACAAATTCATTTACATATTTATGTACCTAATAAAAATACCCTGCAATTGTACTTTTGGTATACTAAACTGGAATACTTAAAGTCTGCTAAATTGGAACAACTAATTATGTACTGTCTTAATACACATTAATTGTGCAGAAGTAGTGCTGAAGACCAACTAAAGATATACGTAAGTATATTTGATTGTGCTAAAGTGGAACTATTGCAAGTATACTTATATCACATTTAAAGACCAATATTATTCAAAGATCATACAATCCTCATCAATAGTGACATTAAAACACATTTTAGGCTTAATATTAAGAAGTGTGCATTGTGCACAAGTCGTACTTCAATTAAAGTTTAAGATTTTTATATCAGTAAGTCTCGAGTGATATGTCAGTAAATATGTTAATAGATTTGAGCTACACTTAATATGAAATAAATGTATTTTAAATATTTTACTTTTTTACTATTTTCAAAATATATACTGTATGTGTGTGTCTATATATACATAATACATATGCACATTACACACACATATATTGAGCAAACAAAAACTTTTATTTTGGATGCGATTAATCGCGATTAATAGTTTGACAGCACTATATATATAAACAT